AGAGGAACCAATGTAATAATCTGAACAATAAAGATTTAATTTAAAATAAAATAAAATAAAACTTTTAGAAGAAAACATAGGAATAAGTAATGGGTTCATAGATATGAAAACCAAAATACAAGGGACAAAAAAATAGAAAAATTGACTTCACCATAATTAAAAACTTTGTACACCAAAGGACGCTATCAGGAATGTGAAAAGACACCCCACAGTATAGGAAAAATATTTGCAAATCATATATCTGATAAGATTCTAGTATCTACAATATATAAAGAACTCATAAGAAAAAGACAATCAACAAATGGGCAAAGGACTTGCATACATATTTCTAAAAAAAAGATATACAAAGAAGGTACATGACGATGCTCAAAATCATTAGTTATTAGGGAAATGCAAGTCAAAACCATAATGAGATATCAGTTCACACCCATTAGAATGGCTGGAATTTTTTTTAAAAAAAGGGGAAAAATACCACGTATAGTCAAGGATGTGAAGAAATTGAACCCTCAACACATTGCTGATAGAAAAATAAAATGGTGCAGCCACTATGAAAAACATTTTGAAGGCTTCTTAATTAATTAACATAGAATTACCATGTGATGCGGTAATTCCATTCTTAGATATAAACTCCAAAGAATTGAAAATAGGTGTGCAAATAAAAACTTAGACAAAAATATTCATAGCAACATTACTCTTAATAGCCAAATGGTGGAAACAACCTAATGTCCATAAATAAAAGAATGAATTTTTTAAAGTGTTATAATCCACATAATATTAGTTAGCTACCAAAAGGAAGGAAATTCTGATGAATGCTACAACATGTACAAACCTTGAAAACATTATATTAGGTGAAAAAGCTAGACACAAAAGGCCACATATTGTAGGATTCCATTTATATGAGATGTCCACAATAGGCAAACCCACAGAAAGCAAATTGGTGATGCTGAGGCTGGGAGTAGGGAGAAATAGGGAGTGAATGCTTAATGGGTGTAGAGTTTTCTTTCTGGGGTGACAAAAATGTTTCAGAATTTGATAGAGGTGGTAGTTGCACAACGTTGTAAATGTACTAAATGCTGCTGAATTATACATGTTAAGAGAATCAATTTTATGTTATGTGAATTTTACCCCCCTTTTAAAAAAATGGAATAAAGTACTGATGCATAATACAATTGACTCTGAACAACATGGAGATTAAGGGTGCCTACAGCCCGTTTAGGACAAAGTCCGTGTATAACTTAGGCTGGCCCTCCACATTCAAGGATTCCTGACCTCTAGTTGACTCTTGAACAACACAAATTTGAACTGCAAGGATCAACTGAACTTCGCACATCAAATAAACTTCGGGCAATTAAACTGAGCAGGGCCAATTGAACTGAATGAGTCAATTGAAAAAAAAATCCACCTATCAGTGGACCAGCACAGTTAAAACCTGCCATGCTCAAGGGTCAACTGTATAATGTGGAAGAACGTCAAAAACATTATGCTAAGTGAAAGCAGCCAGATATAAAAGGGCACATGTTGCATGATTTTACTTATAAGAAATATTTGGAGTAGGCAAATACATAGAGGTGAAAAGCAAATTAGCAGTCATCAGGAAGGGTAGAGGAAGGAAAATGAGAGTGACTATTTAAAAGGTATGGGGTTTCCTTTTGGGGTGATGAAAGTCTGGAAATAAATAGTGGTGATGGTTGTATAATATTGTGAATGCACTTGATGCCATTGGTTAAAATGGTGCATTTTATGTTATGAGCAGTTTATCATATTAAAAAATGCTTACCTCACACTATGGTTCTGAGTGATCAACACATCTCTAAAGGAATAGTGCTGAGCACAGTACTGAACACAGAGTGACCAAGGTTTATATCTTTACTAGAGGCCCATTGCACAAAACTCGTGCACAAGGGAGGGGGGGACCCTCAGCCAGGCCTGCACCCTCTCACAGTCCAGGACCCCTTGAGGGATGTCTGCCTGCCTTACCGCTCGCTGCTCCTTAGCGGCAGGCTCCTTACCGCTCGCTGCTCCTTAGCGGCAGGCTCCTTACCGCTCGCTGCTCCTTAGCGGCAGGCTCCTTACCGCTCGCTGCTCCTTAGCGGCAGGCTCCTTACCGCTCGCTGCTCCTTAGCGGCAGGCTCCTTACCGCTCGCTGCTCCTTAGCGGCAGGCTCCTTACCGCTCGGCTCACTGATCCTTAGCGCTGCTGCGGAGGCAGGAGAGGCTCCTGCCACCACTGCTGTGCCGTGAGCCAGGCTTCTGGCTGAGTGGTGCTCCCTCTGCGGAAGCGCACTGACCACCAGGGGGCAGCTCCTGTGTTGAGCATCTGCCCTTGGTGGTCAGTGCGCATCATAGCGACCAGTTGTTCTGCTGTAACTGTCACTTAGGCTGTTATTATATAGATATCAATGTGATGAGTTTATATCTTCATATGAAAAAGGACTTTGAGGGAAGTTTGGAGGGAAATCAACGACTAAGGCAGCAGTTCTCAACCTGTGGGTCGCGACCCCTTTGGCGGTCGAATGACCCTTTCACAGGGGGCCCCTAAGACTATCCTGCATATCAGATATTTACATTACGATTCATAACAGTAGCAACATTACAGTTATGAAGTAGCAACGAAAATAATTTTATGGTTGGGTCACAACATGAGGAACTGTATTTAAAGGGCCAGAAGGTTGAGAACCACTGGACTAAGGGAAGAGATTCAGGGAAATGCTGACAACCCAAATGAAATGCATATTGGGATGGTTCTGGGGTTTGCCCATCAGGAGCTTTTTGGCATTTCAAGGGTAGAAATATTATTTCTACCTGAGAGCTTTTCCCAGTATCTCTGTGAAAATATAATCAATTGCTGAGCCTACTGTTCTGTGAAGCCATGAGAAGAGAGAAGTGTTTTCCAAACATTTTCTTTTCTCAAGAGGGATCCAACAGCTGCATCGTGTGTTTTAACCATTTGAACACAATAACAGAATTTCTCCTTCAAGATCACTGGGTCTAACTTCCTCATCTTATAATGGAGGGAAGTGAGGCCCAGAGAGATAAAGTGACTTGTGCACAGTCACCAAGAAGAACTAAGCCCCAAACCCAGACCTCCTGGGACTCCCAAATAGGAAACACATTAATTGCCAGGATGTGTTCATTGTTGGGGTATGAGTCAAGCATGCTAGTAGCGATGGCCTGCAGGTTTGGGGTGGTCCCACCCAGGTTGGGCTTGGGAATCTGGGACAGGTGAGAAAACATGGAGCCCAGCAGGCTGGTGTTGGGCCCTGACTGTAAACTAGTCCACCCTCTCTGGTCCCACCAATAACCTAATAACCTTCATGAGGAGCTCAGGGGGATGATCCTATCCAATGCAGTGTAAAGTTAGAAAAGTGGGGAGAGGGAAGCCCCATGACCCATAGGGAGCAGCAGCTACCCTGGAAGGAGTTTGCTGTGTTCAATATTACAGGGCACATTAGAAGCAGGGCTGAGCAGAGTGTGATAAATGGACTCATTTACAGTCATAGAAACAATACGATTCCTTTGACAGGGCACTTAAATTCTGAATTCCCAGTTCAGCGGAGAGGAGGCCCAATGAATTGAGGGGGGTGTTGCCAAGCAGGCCTGTCTGGGCAGCTTGTTTGACAGCTCAGAGAGCTGCCCTATTCTCCAAAGGTAGAGGACACAATGCCCAGTGGTTTTATTCATCCCCTTCCATATTCTCTATTTTGCTCTCTGTTGGAGGAAACAATCCTAAAAGGCATAAAAACGGTGCCAGAGAGAGGGCCCTAAATAGAGGTGAGGCAGCCCTGAATCCAGGCCTGGCTCTGCCACCAAATTCCTTTTGTGACATTGAATGACTCAGACTACCCATTCCTAAAATGAAGGGACAAGACTGAATAATGGCTTAGTGTCTCCCCTCTTTGACATCTTGTCCAACTCAGACTGCAAAACCTGGAATAAGTGTTTCGCCCTCTCTGAGTTCGGCCTTTCTCATGGGTTGGGCATCTGTGGTCTGGTCAGGCTCTAGAATATGTTGGGGAGTGGGTAACAGGATCTCTACAAGAAACGTAGGGGTCCAAGGTGACTTCCCACCCAGATGTTCTCCAAAGGGAGTCCTCTCTGACCTAGAAATTACTCTTACGATCCTGGAGGACCTGTCACCAGGTTTCTTGGATTAACTGAAAAAACCAAAGTAAATACTCAGGCCCAGAAGTTCTCTAGGGCTAAGTTGCTGGGGACAAGGGGCAGCCCCAAATAAAAGGATACTAAACGAAGGAAGACCCATCACAGAAGGTGTAATGCAACTTGATGTTCTTCTTGCCTCCTTTACACTCCTGAGACTGCTGAATGAAGTGAGCATGGGAGATGGAAGACTGGTAAGGAGTGGGAGTGGGAGTCTGAGTACCTTGAAGGTGAGGGTGACAGGAGCTCACAGCTGACCCCGAATGAATGGGCATCTTTGCCCCGTAGTTGCGTAACATCATGGGGCAGAAGACATTCTTCCCTTTCCACGAGGTCCTTTCGGCTTCTCTGCAGGGAAAACCAGCATATCTTCTAGCCACTTGGCTCTCACTCACCAGTGAAGTTCTCTATAGCTCCTCCCCCACTCCTAGGACTCCCATCTCATTCCCTGTCCCAAAAGTACCTGTCCCCACCTCTTACCCTCATCCTTAAAGTTAGTATTTTTAGGAAGAACTGGGAAGAGACTGGTGCAGCTCTGAGACCAGTCCTTCTCATCTTTAGCTCTAGGTAAGGACCAAGGAGTAGAACTGTGTGCTGAAGGGGAACCTGGGGGAGCTGGAGGCTTTGCTCACCCTCTAGTCCTGAGGTTACAGGGAAAGAGAGCTTCCTTCCAGAATGTAATAATAGGAGTAAAACTGAGCGGCTTCCTTTTATCCATGTTCTGTAGCTGTAGTAATATTCAATGGCCCAGGGAGCCCAAGACATATATGGCTTAGAGGTGACTAAGTTTCAAGTCCTTTATCGCCCATAGTTTGGGCTTCAGAGAAATGTAGACTTAACTTGCTAGGACTTGTTGGATCCATCTATAATAATAAAAGCATAATATGCTAATTTGACCAGACGACCTTCTGTGAGGGAAGCCAGGGCTGTGAGGGAAGCTCGGGTCCTGGGTGCCTGCTGGCGGCTGGAGGGAAGCCCAGGTCCCGGGTGCCAGAGGGAAGCTGGTGCCGGCAGTCGGGGGAAGGAAGGCCTACTCTTGCATGAATTTAATGCATTGGGCCTCTAGTAATATCAAAAATATCATTAATCATCCATGTCAATTTTTTTGTTTGTTTTGAGAGATACTTCCTTTTTTTTTTTTTTTTTCCAGAACTCTGACAAATTATGCTAAGAAAAAAACATTCAGGGCACAAAGGTTGTATACGCTAAGAAGTTCCGTAAAGGATATGGTATCACTGGTGAGAAGGCAAAGATCAATGCCTTGGGGTCAGGCCCACCAAGCTTTGGGACTTCAAGCAATGCCTCAGTTTCCCCACCCACAAAATGGGCATCAATCCCATCTTCCTCATAAGGCCATACAAGGACTGAAAAGGATTGTGAGGAAGGACTGGGAACAAGTCATCACCCTGTCACTATTATTAGGGGTACTGGGTAGCTGACACTTCCTGGTACTCAGACACTTTTGTGATTTTCCCTTTATGCATACACAGGTGATTGCCAGCCCTGCCCTCCTCTCCGATCTACCCCCAACTTCTAAAATGCTCACATATGACGACACATCTCTTGCAGCTTCTCCCGGGCCTCAGGACAGGGGTCACTGATCTCCACATTGTCAGAGGCAGTTCCTGTTTCTCGTTGAGAGGGTGATGAGGTTATCTCTTCAAAATTTTTCATTTTTCCTATAGTTGTAAAAAGGTTAGGGACAGAGTTTTAGAAAATGGTTTCTCCTGGGGAAGAGTGGTGGGGTGGGGAGCAGGAGAACCACATCTCCTGAGAGTCAAAATAATCAAGAGAATCATTTATGCTTCCTGGGCACAGGTCACTGATAAAATAGATGTCACTCTGCAAGTCAACCAAGAGTGTGTGTGGAGCATACTTGTACAGAGTGATGAATCCAGCTATGCTTCCCCAAGGGCAGCTTGGTTGTAGGTGGGGGGCACATAGGTGTGCCTGCCATGGATGCCAATATGATTACCTTCTGATGTTTCTGATTAAACAACGAAGTTTCAATTCCACCTCAATTGGCTTGAACACTTCTCTGATGTTGGCTAATCTCAGGCCTTCTGCAGAGGGTATTGTGGCTCCATTGAGAATTGGACTGTAATTTTTTTTTTAATATTGTGATAAAATTCACGTAACTTTACTATCTCATTTTTAAGTGTACAGTTCAGTGGTATTAAATACATTCACACTGTTGCACAACTACCACCACTATCCATCTCTATAACTCTTTTCATCTTGTAAAATTAAAACTTTGTACCCATTTGACCAGTGGTTCTCAACCTTGGCTGCACATTAGAATCACCTGGGAATCTTTTTAAAATCCTGATTTCTGGGCCTCATCCTCCAGAAATTCTGTTTCTTTGTTACTAATGTTGTGGCCTCACCCCATAACAAAGAAACAGAATTTCCAAAGGATGAGGCCCAGAAATCAGGATTTTAAAAAGATTCCCAGGTGATTCTAATGTGCAGCCAAGGTTGAGAACCACTGCATTAGACAATAACTTCTATTCCCCCTCTCCTAGATCCTGAAAAATACCATCCCTCTTTCTGTCTCTATGGTTTTGACAGTGATGAATCAAGCTATGCTTCCCCAAGGGCAGCCTGTTTTACTTATATATGAGGTATAAGTAAAAAAAAAAATTACTTATACCTCATATAAGTAGATTCATACAATATTTGTCTTTGTGTGACTGCTTTATTTTAGGTAGCACAAAGTCCTCAAGGTTCATCCATGTTATAGCATGTGTCATAATTTCCTTCCTTTTAAAGGTTGAATAACATTTCATTGTTACTGTAGATTGCATTTTCTTTATCCATTCATCCACTGATGGACACTTGGGTTGCTTCCACATTTTAGCTATAGTGAATAATGCTGCTATGAACATGGGTGTACAAATATCACTCAGAGACCCTGTTTTTAATTCTCTTGATATATACCCAGATGTGGAATTGCTGGATCTTATGGTAATTCCATTTTTTGTTTTTTGAGGAATTGCCACACAGTGTTCTACAGTGGCTGTACCATTTTATATTCCCATCAGCAGTGCACAAGAGTTTATCCATCCTCTTCCACTCTTGGTTTTTTTGTTTTTGTGATAGTAGATATCCTACTTGGGTAGGATGAGGTAGCATCTTATTATAGTTTTGATTTGTATTCCCTAATGATTAGTGATATTAAACATCTTTCATGTGCTGATTAGCTGTTTTATATGTTCTTTGGAGAAATATATTTTCAAGTGCTTTGCCCATTTTAATTCAGCTTGCTTTTTTTGTTGATGAATATTATATGTTCTCTATATATTCTGGATATTAATCCTTATGAGATATATAATTTACAAATATTTTCTCCAATCTATGGACTGCCTTTTTACTCTGTGGATAGTGTCTTTTGATGCACAAAGTTTAAAAATTTTCATGAAGTCCAATTAGTCTATTTTTTCTTGTATTGTCTATGTCTGTAGTGTCATATCCAAGAAATCATTGTCAAATCCAATGTCATAAGGCTTTTCTCCAATGTTTTCTTCTAAGAGTTATATTGTTTTGGTTCTTACATTTAGGTCCTTGATCTATTTAAAGTTAATTTTTGTATATGGTGTTAAGTAAGGGTCCAACTTCATTCCTTTGCAGGTGGTTGTCCAGTTTTCCAGCACTACTGATTGAAAAGACTGTATTTCCCCATTGAATGGTCTGGGCACCCTTGTAAAATCATTTGATCATATATGCAAGAGTTTACTTCTGAGCTCTCTATTCTATTCCTTTGGTTTATATATCGGTCTCTATACCAATACCACACTGTAGCTTTGTAGTTAGTTTTAAAATCAGAAACTGTGAGTCCTCCAGTTTTATTCTTTTTTCAAGACTGCTTTGGCTACTCAGAGGTCCCTTGAGATTCCATGTGAATTTTAGGATGAGTTTTTCTATTTCTGAAAAAAACATAATTGGGGTTTGAATGGCAATTGCAATAAAACTGTAGACCACTCTAGGTGGTACTGACATTTTAACAATATGAAGTCTTCCAATCCATGAATGTAGAACATGTTTCCATTTACTTATGTCTCTTTTCATTTCTTCCAGCAACAATTTATAGTTTGCATTATGCAAGTTTTTCACCTCCTTGGTTAAGTTAATTCTTAAGTATTTTATTATTTTTGCTGCAATTATAAATGAAATTGTTTTTCTAGTTTCCTTTTCAGATTATTATCCTATATAATAAAGAACTAATATGCTAATTAGACCAAACAGCAGAACAACTGTCCAGATGGTTGCTGTTTGGATGACCTTCAGGATGTAGCCAGGGCTGCAAGGCCGGCCGAGGCTGTGAGGGCCAGCTGAGGCAGCCGGGGCTGTAAGGGCCGGCTGGGGCTGCAAGGGCCAAGCCCCTTGCCCAAATTTCATGCATGGGGCCTCTGGTTCATATATGAAAATGCAACTGATTTCTGTGTGTTGACTTTATCCTGCTACTTTTCTGATTTTTTTTTTTTAGTTCTAACAGGTTTTTTGATGGGATCTCTAGGGTTTTTACATATAAGGTAATATCATCTGCAAACAGATAATTTTATTTCTTCCTTTCCAATTTGGATGCCTTTTATTCCCTTTCTTGTCTTATTGCTCTGGCTAGAATTTCCAGTACTATGTTGACTAGAGGTGGTTAAAGCAGACATCCTTGCCTTGTCCCCAGTCTTAGAGGAAAAGCTTTCAGTCTTTTACCATTAAGTATGTTTGCTGTCAGTTTGTCATATATTATTTTTATTATGTGGAGGTGGTTTCCTTCTAGTTTGAGTGTTGTTTTTTAACATGAAAGGGTGTTTAATTTTGTCAAATGGCTTTTCTGCATCAATTGAGATGATAATGTGGGGGTTTTCCCCGTCATTCTGTTAATGTGGTGTATTACATAGATTTTTTTTTTTTGTAAGTTAACCATCCTTTGAGTCATGGTATATAATCCTTTAAATATGCTGCTGAATTCTATTTGCTAGTATTTTGTTGAGAACTTTTGCATCAATGTTTTTTGGAATATAGGTCTGCAGTTATTTTTTTCCTGTAGTGTCTTTGGTTCTGGTATCAGGATAATGAGGCCTTATAGAATAAGTTGGGAAGTGTTCCCTCTTCAAATTTTTGGAAAAGTTTGAAAAAGATTGGCATTAGTTTTGCTTTAAATGTCTGAACTACTGGAGCCATCAGGTCCAGGGCTTTTCTTTGTTGGGAGTTTTTTTGATTACTGATTCAATCTCCAGACTATGCTTATTCAAATGTTCTATTTATCCATGATTTGGTCTTGGTAGGTTTTGTGCTTCTAGAAATCTTTCCCTTTTATGTGGGTTATCCAATTTATTGGTGTCCAACTGTATATAGTACTCCCTTGTAATCTTTTTTATTTCTATAGAATTAGTAAATTCCACTTACTTTAGTAATCTGGGTCATCTCTTTTTTCTTAGTTGATCTAGCTAAAGGTTTATCAAATGTGCCCATATTTTCAAATAATCACCTTCTAGTTTCATTGATTTTCTTTGTTTTTTTTTTCCTATTCTCTATTTCATTTATCTCTGCTCTAATCTTTATTATTTCCTTCCTTCTACAGTTGTAAAGTTAGATTGTTTAGGTCTTTTCTTTCTTTTAATCCTCATCCTAAAAAATATTTTTTATTGATATGAGAGAGAGAGAGATGATGGGGGGAGGGGAGAGAGAGAGAGGCATTGACGTGAGAGAGACATATCAATTGGTTGCCTCCCGCTCATGCCCCAACTGGGGCCAGGGATCAAGCCTGCAACCAAGGTAGGTGCCCTTGACTGGGAATTGAACCCTCGATCCTTTGATTCATGGGCTGACGCTCAAATCACTGAGAAAAACTGGCCAGGGATGTGGCAGTCTTTTAAATCATGTAAAAAATGCAGTTACAAGCCATTGTTATAATACTGCTAGCTTTTAAACTGCCCAAGCTTTTACTTTCATTGAGATCTTTATTTCTCCACATGATTTCGAGGTACTGTCCAGTGTACTTTCATTTCATCTTACAGGATTCCCTTGAGCATTTCTTGCAGGGTTAATCTAGTAATCATACACTCTCTCATGTTTGCTTATCTGGGAATGTTTTAATATCTCACTTTGAAGGACAGTCATGCTGGATATAAAATTCTTAAAAAAAGTTTTCTTTTGTTTTTTAAAATTAAATCTTTATTGTTGAAAGTATTACATATGTCCCATTTTTCACCTTATGACTCTTTCTAGCCCACACCCACCACCCGCCCCATGCTTTCACCACACTATTGTCTGTGTCTGTGGGTAATGCATATATGCATATAAGTTCTTTTTTAAAAAATATATTTTATTTATTCTTTACAGAGAGGGAGGGAGAAGGATAGAGAGTCAGAAACATCGATGAGAGAGAAACATCGATCAGCCACCTCCCGCACACTCCCCACTGGGGATGTGCCCGCAACCAAGGTACATGCCCTTGACTAGAATCGAACCTTGGACCCTTGAGTCCGCAGGCTGACGCTCTGTCCACTGAGCCAAACCGGTCAGGGCATGCATATAAGTTCTTTGGTTAATCGTTTCCTTCCCCCCTCCCCCTTCCCTCTGAAATACATCAGTTTGCATGCTTCAATGTCACTGGTTCTATTTTGCTCATCAGTTAATTTTGTTCATTAGATTCCACATATAAGTGAGATCATGTGATACTTGTCTTTATCTGTCTGGCTTATTTTACTTAGCATAATACTCTCCGGGTTCCTCCATGCTGTCTCAAAGGGTATGAGATCCTTCTTTTTAACTGCTGCATAACATTCCATGGTATAAATGTACCACAGCTTTTCTATCCACTCATCTACTGATGGGCACTTGTTTCAAGATCTTAGCTATTGTACATTGTGCTGCTATGAACATAGGTGTGCACATCTTCTTTTTGATTGGTGTTTCAGACTTCTTAGAATATATTCCTAGAAGTGGGATCACTGAGCCAAATGGCAGTTCCATTTTTAACTTTTTGAGAAAATTCCACAGTTACTCACAGTGGTTATATCAATCTGAATTCCCACCAACAGTGTACTAAGTAGGGTTCCTTTTCCTCCACATCCTCGCCAGCATTTGTTGTTTGTTGATTTATTGATGGTAGCCATTCTCGCAGGTATGAGGTGGTACCTCATTATTGTTTTAATTTGCATCTCTCTGATGATTAGTGACTCTGAGCATTTTTTTCATATGTTTCTTGGCCATTTGTATGTACTCTTTGGAGAAGTGTCTATTCAGGTCTTCTGCCCATTTTTAAAATGGATTGTTTGTCTTCCTTTTGTAGAGTTATATGAGTAATTATATATTTTGTAAGTTAATCATTTACCAAAAGTATCATTGTCAAATATATTCTCCCATACAGTAAGTTCCCTTTTCATTTTGATGCTGGTTGCCTTTGCTGTGAAGAAGCTTTTTAGTTTAATGTAGTGCCATTTGTTTAGTTTTTCCTTTTGTTTCTCTTGCTCTAGGCAACGTATCTGTAAAAATTCTGCTACATGAGATGTCAGATACTTTGCAGCCTACATTTTCTTCTAGGATTTTTATGGTTTCATGACTTACATTTTAAGTCTTTTATCCACTTTTAGTTTATCCTTATGTATGGTCGAAGTTGGTGATATAGTTTCATATTTTTGCATGTACTTGTCCAATTTTCCCAATACCATTCATTGAAGTGACTGTATACACCTTTGTATGCTTTTTCCTCCATTGTCAAACATTAATTAAACATAATGGCTTGGGTCAATTTCTGGGTTCTCTGTTCTGTTCCATTGATCTATGTGCCTGTTCTTGTGTTACTACCAGGCTGTTTTGATTACAGTGGCTTTGTATTATAACTTTATATTCAGTATTGTGATCCCTTCAACTTTGTTCTTCTTTCTCAAGATTGCTGGTTATTTAGAATCTTTTTTGGTTCTATATAAGTTTTTGGAATGTTTGTTCAAGATTTTTAAAATATGCCATTGGTATTTTAATAGGGATTGCATTGAACCTATACATTGCTTTAGGCAGTATGGCCATTTTAATGATGTTAACTCTACCAATCCATGAACATGGTATATTCTTCCACTTGTTTATATCTTCTTCTATGGATATAAAATTCTTTTTTTGTTTAATTTTTTTATTGATTAAGTTATTACATATGTGTCCTTATCCCCATGTTACTCCCTATCCCCCTCACTCATGCCCTCATGCCCCTGTTGTCTGTGTCCATTGGTTAGGCCCGTAGTCAGCAAACTGCGGCTCGCGCGCCACATGCGACTCTTTGGTCCCTTGAGTGTGGCTCTTCCACAAAATACCACATGCGGGCATGCA